TGGACTGCTCTAGGAAGATTTCAATGTATAATTCTCCCCTTCCAATAAAACAAGAATTTGTTCTGCCAGAATCTTTACACTGAACAAAGTCCCAAGTGTCGTCTAGGACCAGTTGCGCCGTGTCTTGATGTGTGGCTCTCCAATCTTTGAAGTGAAAACTGTAGATCATGCTGTTTCTGTTCTCCAAAGTGAAAACTGTAGATCATGCTGTTTCTTCCTTTTGTTTACGAGTTTAAAATGACTAGGGCCATCTTCCCTGCTTTCAGTGGAAATTATATTTGATCTTAGTGTTGGGGCATGGCATCGGTTTCTTTTTTTGTCTTTTGATTCTTTTTTCAGTGGAGATTATATTAGGCCCTAGCACCTTCCTTCGGTACATTACAAAGCGGTTCAGGCTACTTTTTGTTTGCAACTCGTGATTGGAAATGTGTTGTCTTTTCTTGAATAAGCTCATCCAAAAAGTGGGGAAAAGCCTCGTCACTTGTATCATGTGAACCCTAAAGCTCTTTTTATGAATTCTTCAATTTCATGTAGGCATCAATTGACGTTTCTGAGTCTTCAGAAGATGGTTTGGAGACGTAATGGATTCTCTAAATTGACCCTTTTATGTTATGGGTCGGCAAATTTTTTTCACATAAAAAAATTGATATAAAGGTTTAACATAATAGATCAAGGATTACGGCAATAAACAGTAAAAAAGAATATTTAGCACTAATTAAAAAGTTGAAAAATAAGAGTAGACAAGGATATTTGATCAGAAGCCTTTCAATTTTGTTAACTTAATTATATGATTCTAATTATTTTTTTAATAAGAAGAGCAATAATTTAAATTTGATTGTAACAAAATAATTTGCTACCAACAGTCTTCCTCTTCCTATTACTATCTTTAATTTAAAAAAGAATATAACAATTTTTTTCTATATTATTTATTTAATAAAAATGAAAATCATCTAGAAGACATGCAATTTTTTTTTAAGATGATTTAAAATAGGATAAAAAAGATATTAAAGTGATTTTTTTAAGAAACTTATACCATAATATTCTTTCCTAACAACATTCTCTCATCATTTCAAAAGCAAGTTTTCAATTATAAAAAAATAACAACCTAATACTTTTGATATGAGTGTATAAAAAAAATATGATAATAATACACCACTCAAGTGTTATATCTTGGGGAACTCTTTGAAAATATTATTAAATCCATCTCAGTTGGTATTCTTAAAATATTTTGATTTGAATCTTTGTCTAGGTTGCGTTTTCAAATTAAATCATATGTGGATTGACTTGATGTGGAACAATAAAAAATTTTAAAATAATATTTTTTTAATACTAAAGTGAAGACACATAAGTTTAATTTGAATTAACCTATCAAATCAGCGATTTTAATTGTGGATTCGACTAAGTTCAATAAGTTTGTTTTTCTAAAACTATTTTTTATTTAATTATAAGTAACAAAAATTAATGAATGCAGTAAAGTAACCAAGTAAAATATATATATATATATATATATATAATAAAAAAGAGAAATATATATATATATATATATATATATATATATATATAGATTTTATTATGATGGGTTGTAAGAAAAGGAGCAATTATTCAAGAACAAAGTAAAAATTAAATGAAATAACATCTAAAAAATCATTCTTAATTAATATTAGAATTTAAAAGATTATATATATATATATATATATATATCCGCAACTCGGATCGTGGATTCGACTAAGTTCAATAAGTTCGTTTTTCTGAAAATATTTTTTATTTAATTATATGTAACAAAAATCGATGAATACACTAAAACAACCGAGTAAAATATTTTTTTTTATTATGATGGGTTGTAAGAAAAAGAACAATTATTCAAGAACAAAGTAAAAATTAGATGGAATAACATCTAAAAAAACATTCTTAATTAATATTAGAATTTAAAAG